GAGAGAGAGAGAGGGTCACATCACAGTGGAGGCAGCTGTCTTAAACGTGGCTTGTGTACTTCAAACATCAGAATCAGAATCAGAAAGAGCTTTATTGCCAAGTATGTTTGCACATACAAGGAATTTGTTATAGTGTCACAAGCTTCCAGTACACGGAGACAACAACACACAGATAATAAAAGTGTGCTTCATCACTGTGTCTTACCACATACCAGCTTCATCACTGTGTCTGTCACGCGACTCTGTTCCCCTTTCGGGCTCTGTCTTTACATTTATTTTGAAAGATGAAGCTCGCGATTATGGTAGGTGCGTTACATTTCCGACGAGTGCTTGCGGTGTTCGCCCAATCACAATGCACTGGGTCAGCTGGCCAATCAGAGCAGTCTGCGCTTGTCGGAAGGAGGGACTTTGTAGAAAACGAAGCGTTTAAGAGAGGCGGGGCATAGAGGACCTACAGTAATGTACAGTATTTGAAAAAGAATGTGTTTTTTGAACATTAAAGCATGTAAACATATTCTGTTACACCAAATACACAAAATAATGATCTTTAAAAAAGCAGCATATGACCCCTTTAATATCCTAATGATTTTTGGCATAAAAGAAAAATCTATAATTTTGAACCATACAGTGTATTTTTGGCTATTGCTACAAATATACCCATGCTAGTTATGACTGGTTTTGTGGTCCAGGGTCACATATGATATCCCAGGACAGATATTTTAAGTATATTTTTCAGGGAGTCTTGATTCTTTTCTGCATACAATTCCATGCTTAAATGGATTATTGCACCTTTAATTTTTATATTCTTCTACAAAAAAAAACATATTCTTAAGAAAAAAATATATCTATATCTGTATATCTAATTTCTTATCATTTTAAACCAAATAAACTGTATGTAAAATGCTTGTGCCACTTTGTTGGACATTATGACTAATACGATGACATTCATTCGTTTTTAACTGTGACTTGCTTGTCCAAATACTTTTAGGGCCTACGAACAACACAGTTTATCAAGAATGTTCCTTACCTGTTTTCTGAGACCAAAATCTGCTCAAGGAGCTTGGCAGACTCGTATGTGATTTCTACAGCCGGTGTCTGCAGCAGCAGCAAGAGCAGCTCCAGACCCCCATCCAGCCGGATCCTGTTGCAGATCTCCTCCGCTACCTGTCGGCCCACTGTGGGCAGGACCCAGGCCTCCTCGACGAGCTGGAAAGTCTCAGCTATGGCCCGGCGGGTCTCCTCCACATCTCCAGTGTCTTTTGAAGACTTGAGTGTTTTGATGGCGGAGCGCAGCGCGGGGAGAGAGCCGTCCAACACGGCCTGGACGTCGGTGCTGATCCCCGGAGACACAGCCTTGGGGCCAGAGCTCGTCCTCCGGTTGTGTAGCCGATAACTGACATATTCAGGAACCGTGAGTCTGTCGGTGCTAAACATGGAGAAATAACGGCAAAACTTGCTGAGATAAACGACAAGAGACAGAAACATCTACCGTTACCAGCTAGTTTCTCGGTTCTAACAGTTCTGATGTGTCTTTGTCTTTCAGGCGTGACAAAGAAATGATGGCGTCGCCGTCATTACCAAGCAAATCATTAATGTCTAATGCCGTTTACACCAAACCACATTATCCTGCTGATGCCAGAGAAAAATAATAAACACAAATGACGTCAGAGCACTGGTTAAGATACGCTTCACGAATCCACTGTTAGAAAGGACCCACCAAAAACCATCAAATAACAAGATAACGCTGTCAGGATGGCTGGATGTTTTAAGAAAATTAGACAGTAGACGGTTGGTATCGCTGTATACTGGCAAGCGATTAAGTTTTGTCAGACAAAGACGACTATTTCCACTGTCCTTTTGCCACCCTCGGATAGATTCCTGTGAAAGCCAACGGAAGCGATGCTTATTCATTCAAATAAAACACTGTGATGCCGTTATATTTGTAATAAAGTCAAGATCGTTGATAATGAATCCTCAAGCATCCTCAGCGTCCGTTTATAGACCCGCCCAGTGTATCTCCCAAAGCCAGACGCGGAGAATCAACCTCAGCACCATAGTGCCACTTTAGTTCAATGCCCTCTGCTGGACAAAGACTGAATGCAAACGTAAGCTTTTTTTGTTACAATGTTTATTGTATTTCTGCCTAAATACCACAGCCGCAATATATTTGAATAAAAAAATAAATATTTTAAAGTTAGTTTCAGCCAAACTTAAAAATTAAGACAAAATCTCTTTAAATGTTTTATTAAATTGCCAGAAAAAGTATGTAAGCTTCTTGCCGTGTTAAAAGGAGATGCTATTTAATGAATTGGTTTGTATTGCACGTCTTTTTAAAACCACTGGTAAATTTTGCTCAATTTACTAATTTTAGCAACGTTTCACATGAAATTTTGAAAGGGTGCGGGGGGGAGGGTTATCTCCTTAGTCCAGAGAGCACAGTTTAGGCTACTGTGCTAAAAATGTTACGTCGAGTTGTTTAGCTACAGACAACCAATCATAAAGTGGCTCACTAATGACCTCATTAAATATTTATGAGGTTCGCGCAGCCGCAGCAGGACGCGCCATTCAAACCATTATATATAGCTCAGTGATTCGACCGCAGTGTAGTCACATGAGAGAAGAAGACGGCGTTTTTATTATTAATCGCCGATTTGCATGGCGACACAGGCGAGTAGGCTACAATCAGTGTTGTTTTACGTGTTCGAAAGGAACAAATAAGCAAGAAATTAAATGTAATTTCGCTTTGAACTGAATGACTAATGTTTCTTATTAATAAACTTAAAACAATGTAAAGTAGTAATAAAGTAGTGCTCATAAAGCAAACTTTTCAAATTTATATTATAGATGGCAAAACAATTCATGTCTGGTTTTAATGATTACAGTAAAAAAAAAAAAAGATGAAAACATATATTGCAAATAAGTTCAAGAAAACAAAAGTGGGTGAGTGACCTCTGAGTCTATTGATTCCTGTAGTCCTGATGGTCTCAGTTCTTCAGTCGCATTCACTGTGAGACGCCAGGATGAGGCTTTTTCTGCTGCTAGGACTGATATCCTTCACATATGCAGCTGAAGGTAAGAACACTTACTTTCTTGTAATATTTTGATATATACTCTCTGTGTTAACTTGGAACTGTGCTCTTTTTTTACTATTAGAGTCGTGGGTTTGATGCCACCAAGAGCTGCCAGTGTGACTCTATGTGCACATACTACAAGAGCTGTTGCAAAGACTATGAATCCTTATGTTGTATTAGGTGTAAGTTTACCAGTTTGGTTTCTTACACTCCATTTAAACAAATCAAAACTAAACATGTGAAATGCAGTGAACAAAACAAGTGGATGAGAAACTGTTCTTGTTGCAGCTCGTGGAGACACCTTTCCTTCTTACCCTGAGGATGAGTATGATGAGGAAGCAAACAGCACAGAGGCGCCAAATAGATCCAGATCACAGCACAAAATTTTGACCCCGTCTCCAGCGACCTTTGCTGAAATATTCAGCCTATTAACACCAGCTTCACAAATCATGGATTCGACGTTAAGTGATAACCCAATACCAGAGATTGCCACTGCTGCCACTCCAACTACACAATTCAGACTAGCCTCCACAATTAAGAACCCAACCACAACTCCACACACAGCCTCAACTGCTGAACCCACACCAACAAAAGCCAAAGACCCTGACGCTGAGGTCTGCAGTAGCAGACCCTTTGATTCCTTCATGCAGCTCAAAAACGGCTCTATATATGCATTCAGAGGTAAGTGGATTACAGCAAAGAAGAACAAAAATGTGAATATTATACAAAATTATTTTCTATTTCTTTTAGGCTAATTTTTTGACAGTAATATAAAAATGTACATACAATGTATTTAGTATAAGTAACATTTTTGAAAATATAAAACAAAATGGTTAGGGGGCAGCGTTATTTTATTATTATTGAGATACCATTAGTTTTTATTAATATTTTGATTTAGGTATTATTTTTATATTTTACATTTTCTTAGTTAAAGTTGTCATTTTATTGTGTTTTTGTCATTTTTATTAGGTTTTTTTTAACATGTCTATTTAGTTTTATTGCTTTGTATTTCAGTTTTACTAATTTAGTACATCAGTTAAACTAAATTAAAATAAAAAATATTGCTGTTAAGAAAAACATTTTTATTTGATTTCAGTTAAGGTTTATTTTATTACAAGTAACAAAAATGTTTTTTTATATCTTTAGTTTTAGTTAAATATAATAACCCTGGAAAGTAGGTAAAAGGAAAATAAAGGATTTAACAAAATGTGTATTTTAAAAATGTACTGCTGTATTACTGAAATTATACTGTTATGACAGATAATTATGTGTTCTTCTTATTATAGTTAATTCTGTATTTATTTATTCTTTTTTTATACATTTTGTTTCCAATTTAAAATGTGCTGTGTTTGTCTACGAGGACAATATTTTTTTGAGCTTGATGAGAAATTAGTATTACCTGGGTACCCAAAGCTCATCGAAGACATCTGGGGAATAAAAGGTCCAATAGATGCTGCCTTCACTTCAAACTGCCAAGGAAAGACATACATCTTCAAAGTATGGATGACCTCGCATTTACAGTATATCTATTATAACATAAACTATTTAGAATTTCTAGCACGTTATACAGTGTGAAATGATTCCCGTGTTATTTACAATATAACAAATTGTCACGATTTATTTGAATTTATTCAATTTAATTAATCAGAATTATTTAATCTGTTTCACTGAATGATTGTAAATGACAATATGTTTTATTATTCCCAGGGTAAAAAATACTGGCGGTTTAAAGATGGAGTACTAGATGAAGATTTCCCACGAGAAATATCTGTGGGATTTGAGAAGATACCAGACCATCTGGATGCTGCCTTTGCCATTCCTGCTCACAGCCATCATGGCAAAGAGAAGGTTTATTTTTTTAAAGGTTTGTGCTTAATCTAAAGAATACATCTAGATTTACTGACATGTTCATTTAACTTTACTAAACAAAGCATACGTTCCTTCTTTCTAGGAGACCAGTATTACCAGTATGAGTTCAAGCACCAGCCATTCCATGAGGAGTGCATTCAGATGTCATTGAGATCTCCCTCAGCACTCTTCCACAGATACACTAATATTTACTATGACCGATGGGTTGAGCACTTCAACCAGCTCTTTGGTGGAGGTAATATTTTTTTTAGAGGAAGTTATCAAAATAAATTGAACCTTAGACAGCTTCCATAACTCCGCTTTTAATTACTTTCTTCCAGCTCACAGTCATCATGGTGGCCATAACTTCATCAACAAAGACTGGATTGGAATCAAATCTCCTGTGGATGCTGTGCTAGCCGGCAGACTCTACATCACTCCGAGATGGCCCAGCAGAAGGCGTCAGGACAGAAATCAGCAGGATTGGGACCAGCACTGGGGCCAACGGTATGGGCAGCAGTGGAACCAGCGTTATTGGCAGGAGTGGGACCAGCAGCGGGGCTCCAGGCGCAGGCAGAATAGGTCACCATATTGGGAGACTATGGCAGAGAGGAGCATCAGCATTGCACAGGAGTTTGCTCAGAGGTTTGGGCAGTACAGGTGGCAAGACCAGGACAGACGCAGAGACTATTATCATAGACAAAATGACTATGATTATGACTACAGATACAGACCTTCTAAAGACATCGCCTATGACATACTGCGCAGGAGTCAGCCTTTACAGAGTGTCTACTTCTTCAAAGGAGGTACTTATATGACATGATTATTCTATTATATTATTCAAAGGAGGAACTGAAATCGGCATGATAATTTAATATTATATCCAAAGTTCTGTCATGAAACTCTAAATGGCGCAGGCCGATAGGTTTTAACTCAATCTGACACTATTACATCATTCACATGGCGCAGCTGATTGGTTTTATTTCGTATCAGCAGCCAATGAGCTTGCTGCTCAACATTCAAATACTCAGTTAGTGCTTGCAGCATGCTTCAGCAACCCTCCACCTTCCCCAGCTCCACATGTATAGATATGTTACAGGCTGATTTCATGTATGTCATATATGGGGGTTATTTCATATGTGTTATATGTGCAGCAGCAGTATTTCTTATATGCTCACAGCAGCATGTTGTGGATGTGGTGGCAGTAGCCAGTCTCGGTAATTGCTCTGCTGCAGCACCATAGCAGATCTATTCCGCCAAGACCTAATACATTTACACGGGATGTTTATTACCATGCTAAACTCGCAGAGAGTTTTCATGACAGAAATTATATATTTCAAAGGAGGAACTTAAATCAACATGATTATTATATTATATTTAGAAATTCAGATTCAAACTTTTTCTTTACAGATATGTACTACAGAGTGAATCTCCGAACGAAGCGGGTTGACTATGCAAACCCTCCATATCCAAGACCTATTGGAAAATACTGGCTTGGCTGCAAAGACAAGCCAGGAGCAGAAAAGAGATGAGTCCAACTGTAAAAGACATTTAATAGTATTTATCATACAAGAAAAATAAGCTGCATTTGTACGGTCAATGAGAAGGGTGATTAGTAGGCCCTTTAAGAATCTCTCCACAAATAGAATGATATTCCTAATGTTCTACAGGTCGTCCTCCCCTAGAGATGAATCTACTCCCTAATTGTTGTGTTGATTAATTATTCTCAATGGACACCATGCAATTTTCAGTCTCGAACATCTCAAATAAACACTATTATCATAAAATTATACTCTGATTTTCATTGAGAATTAAAGTAATTGCATGAGAGAAATACATTTTTTTTACTGATGCTTACAAAAGCCTAAAGTTGCTATGAACTTTGCAGCAGCTTTTAGTGAGGAACAGTTTTGCAGTCTTTGCAGCAATGTTTTTTGATGTATAGGTCATTATGGCAATGTATACATTTTATTAGGTTATTCCTTTGAAAGTCCTCTTAAGGATATTAACAGAAATCTCTTTCTGTTTTAGCCTTTTCAACACAGTGAAAGGGTGTTTCTTGTCATTTTTTTTTTTCTTGTCATTCGCTGCAAACAACCAATGCCATTTACATTTCCAATCAGTGTTTTGGCACAATTCTTCCATTTATTGTGGTTTATCGCTCTTTCCAAAGAAAACGCTGAGCTTACTGCCAATATCAGGCAATTGAATTAATTTACATCACACTAAGTAATCAGTGTCATGCTGCCAAGAACAACTTCGCTGTAGTGATGCATGTAAGGACTAATCCTTATTTATCGTGCATAGAGAAAAAGATGTCAAAAACCAAGACATACAATTACACAAACTTTTACAGCCCTAAGAGAAAAGGCGTTTTGAGGAGAACCAGAAAGTATCTGTCTGTTTCCATCAAGACGATTCTATTTTTTTTCCAAACTGTTATGGAAGTTATTTCATGCAAAATTGCTGCAGGGTTCATATCTTGGCTCGGGATTGATCTACACTTCTGTTCAAAGGTTTGAGGTTGGTAAGAATGCTTTTAACAGATATCTCTTAGTCTCACTAAGGCTGCATTTATTTGATCAAAATAAAGCAAAAAAAACAGTGAAATATTACAATTTATAATAGCTTTTTCTATTCGAATATATTTTAAAATATGATTTATGCCGGTAATGGTAAAGCTGAATTTTCAGCATCATTACTCCAGTCTTCAGTTTCACATGACCCTTTAGAAATCATTCTAATATGCTGAATTGCTGCTCAAGAAATTGAGAAATTGTTGAAGACAGTTGTATTGCTTAATATTTCTGTGGAAACAGACATTTTTTCAGGATTTTTGATCAAGAGTTCAAAAGTACAGCATTTATTTAAAAAACAATAGATTTTTTAACAATGCAAAAGTCTTTACTGTTACTTTTGCTTAAATTAGAGCATCCTTGCTAAATAATAGTATTAATTTAAAAATAGAAGAATAAAATCTTACTGACCTTAAACTTTTAAATGTCAGTATAGGTAGACATACATCAGTTACTTAAGGGGTTATGAGGGCAACATATTGATAAAATACTTTAAAAAGTGTATTTAACAAAAGCCAAGTAACATTATAATAGAAATTATTATAGGGAATATACAAACAAACAAAACCATTTTCTATGAAGATATGTTTATGCAAAACCTACATAGAGTACTAAAAACACTTTATTGCCCTTTAAATCATAAACGTTAAGATTCAGGAATATTATGAATGCTTTACATAAACATTCTCATAATTTGGCTCATTTTCTGCTTGGTCCACAACGGTCTCATTAATAATAATCTCTGAAGATGTGGAGACCCCATCAGATGGAGCCACAGTCTCGTAAGTGTGCTCTGTCAGAGTGTCTGGCTCACAAACTACTCCAGTGTCTTGTTCTACCTCCAAACTATGGCGTGTATCACTCTCTGGAACACTTTTTAAAATGGAGGACAACGGCCTCTTGGGGGTGCAGTTCTCCTGAGGAAAGTCTGTTGCCCCCACTGTGCAGGGAGAGCTGAGGGAGTTGTGCTTCCTGCGACTAGGTTTCCTCATGACCACCTCTGACTGGTTTGACCCTGTAGAATTGAGAAATTGTTGAAGACAGTTGTATTGCTTAATATTTCTGTGGAAACAGACATTTTTTCAGGATTCTTGATCAAGAGTTCAAAAGTACAGCATTTATTTAAAAAAACAATAGATTTTTTAACAATGCAAAAGTCTTTACTGTTACTTTTGCTTAAATTAGAGCATCCTTGCTAAATAATAGTATTAATTTAAAAATAGAAGAATAAAATCTTACTGACCTTAAACTTTTAAATGTCAGTATAGGTAGACATACATCAGTTACTTAAGGGGTTATGAGGGCAACATATTGATAAAATACTTTAAAAAGTGTATTTAACAAAAGCCAAGTAACATTATAATAGAAATTATTATAGGGAATATACAAACAAACAAAACCGTTTTCTATGAAGATATGTTTATGCAGTTTATGCAAAACCTACATAGAGTACTAAAAACACTTTATTGCCCTTTAAATCATAAACGTTAAGATTCAGGAATATTATGAATGCTTTACATAAACATTCTCATAATTTGGCTCATTTTCTGCTTGGTCCACAACGGTCTCATTAATAATAATCTCTGAAGATGTGGAGACCCCATCAGATGGAGCCACAGTCTCGTAAGTGTGCTCTGTCAGAGTGTCTGGCTCACAAACTACTCCAGTGTCTTGTTCTACCTCCAAACTATGGCGTGTATCACTCTCTGGAACACTTTTTAAAATGGAGGACAACGGCCTCTTGGGGGTGCAGTTCTCCTGAGGAAAGTCTGTTGCCCCCACTGTGCAGGGAGAGCTGAGGGAGTTGAGCTTCCTGCGACTAGGTTTCCTCATGACCACCTCTGACTGGTTTGACCCTGTAGCTTGCTCCCACGCACTGGCCCGCACTGCCAGTTTCCTCCGCGGTGGCTTGGCGATCGCCTGCCCCCTTCCTTTGGGCTGGGCGGCCTCCTCTCTTTGTCTCTGTAGGCTGCCCAGTCTGCGCAGCATCGCCTGAACAGGCCCTTCTGAGGGGGGCTCTTGCTTGGCCATCTTTTGGGTCTTACCCACAGTTACATATACAGTTGTTAACTTCTCTGAATCTGTATCCTGGCCGCTATCAGACGGTTGGGCATTTTTCCTGGTATTGGAAAGTGTACGTTGTCTCCCACTGGGCACAGTGAGGTGAGTTCTTAGTGGGCCAGAACTGTATCTTTCTGAGTCAGTTTGTGTTGTTTCAGATGCAGATGCTTGCTCCTCAGAGGAGATGGTCTCCTCATGGTTTTTCTCTTCTTTTTCTGTTTCTGTTTCACTGTGGTCTCCCTGTCCTCCTTGCAGGGCAGAGATCATCAGCACGCCCCAGGCCTTGGGTTTCCGACTTGTACCAGGCAGGTCTTGAGTCGAGCTACGGCGCTCTTTAGGACTGAACTTTGTGCCCTCTGCAAAAGAGACTGAAGGACGTTTGGATTTGGCAATGCTGGAGGTACGAGGGATACCAAAATCCTGTGACATGTCGTCACTGCTGAAGGTTGATGGGTCAGGGAAGAAGTTACACTTAGAGCTCAGCTCCTGAAGCTCTCCACCGGCCACAGTAAGAACATCTGTGTGAGGAGAAGCACGTTTAATAAGAATCAGTATATTGCTGTTGACTATGGCGAAAATATATTTTTTTCCCCCAAATAATATTTTTTCCAGCAAATATTTTCTTACAGAGATGGATTCTAAAATAATTAATCTATGAATATATGAATTTGGGGTCAGTAAAGAAATTTGTATTTAAAGCATGCATTAAACTGATCAAAAGTGACAGTAAAAATATTTGATATTACAAACTTTTTCTATTTCAAACAAATGCTGTTCTTTTGAACTTCCTATTTATCAAAGAATCATAAAAAATATATCCTCATGGTTTCAACAAAAATATTAATCACCACAACTGTTGATAATAAGAAGAAACATTGCTTGAGCACCAAATCAGCATATTATAAAGATTCCTGGAGTAATGACGTCAGAAAATTCAGCTTTAGAATGACAGAAATAAATTTACATTTGAAATATATTAAAAAAGAAAAAAAATTACATTGTAGTAATATTTCACAATATTATTGTTTTTTTTAATATTTTTTTTGTTCAAATAAATACAGCCTTGGTGAGTATAAAAGACTTCTTTCAAAAATATCTTACTGACCCAAAACCTTCAAACAGTAGTCTGGTGCAAATTACATTTAACTTTAAAGTCTTAGTGTTCTTTAATATTATATTTATGAATATAGTAAATGTAACATATAATAAAATATAACATTAAATATCATAGCTTACATTATCAACTAAAAAGAACAGCCAAAGCAAAACTCTAGCTGCTGCCCTAACCACAGCTTAAACAACACAGAAAGAGTGTGAAACTAGAAATATAAATGTTGTACCTTCCCTGGGTGGTTCACAGTAGATGGCCTCTCCTTCATCATCAGTTTCAAATGAATCAGTCACCCAGCTGGACGATGGCTGCTCAATGAAGCTGTGGTTAAATGTGAGCTCAGGATCATGATGAGAGACTAAAAACACAGCGTAGAACATTAAAAGTCTACTTACATTCACCAAAACACAATCTGCAAATGAAAACAGGCACATTACCTGTAACCCTAGGCAAACCAGACGACCAAAGAGTAATGCACGGCATTGCCGAACCCATGTTGGCCAGCACAGTATAAACATGATGCTTCATGCGAACCGCAGGACTGCCATCTCCAACCGCTACTCTAGAGGTCAGATTTAGCAGAAGATTTTCTTATTGTTTGATAAATAATAATACATTTTATATCAGCTTTCAAATAACAAATTCATACCCTTCCTTCCCTTCGACGGGCCGCCCACAACAGCAGCAGCAGAACAACAAGGCAAGAATTAAAATGCACAAGGGAATCAAAAGCCCTGCTAAGAGACCTGCCCTGCTACCTAGCAGACAAATGCAAAAAAACTGATGAGAGGGATGCGGATACCAGCTGTGAAAACCAAATGTTGTGTCTGGACATACTGTTTGGACAAGCTCCTGTGGCTGGATGGCAGGCATGATTCCCACAGTCGCATGCCACGGAGCAGTTGATGCCATATAGGTTAGGAGGACATGTGCTGTTACAGCTACAACAGAGATTGAACAGTGAGGGAGACTTCTTTGACTCTTTCACCAAGGTAAAAACAACCTATAAATACCACTGTACCCTCACCTCTCACCCTGGAAGCCAGGAAGACAAATGCAACTTCCTGTCACATGGTCACAGTGGCCATGATGGCAGGTTTTACACAGGAAACGACAGCCGTCTCCGTATGTACCATCTGTGCAGGGTTTGTCACATCTGTAGAGAAGGAGAAGCCCAAAATAAAGTCAACTAAGGGAGCTTAGCAGGTAGAAGATTCAATTATACACACAAGAAAAAATATATATGTACACTTGCCCCAAAACGTGTTTAGGACACATAAGTCACATTTAAAATGAATTTCATTGCTTTAGATAATGTTTCTTAGACTTTAAATTAGGTGTTTGCATATTTTCCAATTTAGTTCAGTTCTGATTCATAAGAGCTCAATTTGATTCAGAGTGTCATGATGCAGTTCCTATTAATTTGGGAAATTTTCAGTTGTGATGTCAATTTTTCTTAAATATGAAAGATATACTATCTCTAATTCTGTAAATTATGCCATGCAGTGTTTCAGACTGGCTCATAAGAGTCATTTGTTTGTGAATGGGACACTGGTTGCACTGTATTTTATTGATTCACTAAAAAGAACCAGTTCAAAAGGGTCATTCGTTCATGAATCAGACTACATCCAGTTTGCACATCACAGTCGGCATTGCTGAGATTACAAATGCAACGGCGATCACAGGACGGACCCCACCAGCCATGCAGGCACTGACAGGACCCTGTGCGCTGCTGGCAAGGGGACACATAGCAGTTGCAGTGCAGGCTGCACTTTTGGCCCCAGTAGCCTTCGTCACACAGGCAGCGTCCCGTGGCTTTGTCACAAGTGGATGTGGCAAGGTGGCACTGACAGGCTTTGGAGCAAGTGGACGTCCACCAGCCCTCCTCACAGGTGCAGTTGCCATAGACAGGGTCACATTTCCCATGACGTCCACATTTGCAGCTGTTTTGGCACAGGTTGCCCCAGCGGGTGGGCAGGCACAAGCACTCACCAGTGACTGGGTCACAGAGCCCATGAGGGTGACAGGGACAGAGCTCTCGACAATCCGGCCCCCAAAATTCAGGAGGACAAGCTGTGGAGAATAAAAAATTCAGATCCATAATAACTAGATATGCATACTACATGTATAGTAGTCAACAATATGAATATAGCAAATAACAAATTATTTGCGACATATATCAGAAAGAAACATTTATCCAGTGTTGTTTTGCCAAAGATATTTAGTTCTGGTCCTCAAATTTTATTGGCTGAGTGCTGGCAACAAACTAGTGTCTTTATAGGTCATTGAATCATTTATTCAACCAATAAGTTCAAACACACATGAACGTCACTACTGTGTGTTAGTGATGGGTGCTTTCGAAGCACTGATTATTTCTGAATCAGTTTGCTGCTTTTCTCTTGCAAAGTCATGTGATTTTAATAAACAAGGCAACCATCATTTAACTTGTGACTGAATGTCTAATCTTTAATGATTTTAAGTGGTCTCAGGTTAGTTTTATAATTTAGGTTCATTTTTAATTAATTCAATGAATTTTAATACTTAATGCATGTACAAAAGGAAAGAATTATATTTGATTGATTCTAATTGCCCTAGTAGTAACACAAGGCACCACTCATTAATAAAAGAACACACATTTTACAGAAACTTAATGTTTAATACTTTAATATTTAATTATTCGTAGACATTTAATAGATTGTACTTTTATGAAAACATTTGCAATTGCTTTTTAAAAGGTGGCAATGAGTTTTCTTTGCATTTGTGCCGTTTTGACCAGCAGGTGCCACTAGTCTGTGTGTTTCGCGCGTTTCGAATTTCGAAACCGTGAATCAGTTTGGAGGGATAGGCGATACCTCTTATTTTATTTTCGATCCGATACCGATATTTTCAAGCCCAGTATCGTCGATATCGATACCGATACCGATACTTCTAAACTAAACTGCTCTTTTAAATTATTAAAAGAATATATAATCAGTAATTATACTCACTTAATATTAGATTTTAAAGCCATATTTTTTTTTTAATTTCATAGGCCTTTTTTGTTTACACTTTTAGAAATAAAATATACTATAATTATATATTTTAGCTCTTTAATGGGGCAGTAACCTCAAAGGTGCAACTATACCCCCTAAAAGTGAGCATATTAGTACCATACAAGTATGCATGTTTTAAGGGTAGATAAGTTGCAAAGGTGCACCTTTGAGGGTACCTCATGAAAAATAAACATGGTGTTACATAAGTACTAAAATGTAGTATTATTATTATTATCATGGTAAATTTGTGGTTACTGCAGTTTTACTACAAATACTGTGGTAAACTGTGGTTACTGTAATAAAACCATGGTTAATTTTTGTAAAAGGCTGCCAGGCTGTTGTACGTATCGATACTTAAGGATCGATCCGCCCATCCCTATCAGTTTGCAAAGAAAGTGATTCGAAGTTTCGGAAAGCTTTGTGGGCGGATTCTGCTTTGGATTCGTTTGTAACTATTTTGTTCGTCTGAGGAAAAACTGACAAAAGAAACTGGCGTAATTGTGTCTAAAATGTAAGTTACTCAATATTACATTCTTGTATATATAAAGCAATATCAGGCTTGCTCGTGCAGTATTGTTTGGATGTCTAACCTCAAGGCCAGACACAGTTGTACAGTTGCAAAAGGCAGTCCTGAAACCAGAAACCCAAAGTTCAAACGATATTACTCACGGGTTTTGCACTGGTACCCGTAAAATCCAGGTTTACATCGACAAAGTCCAGGATAAACACACACTTCATCCTGCAGACAGGCCCTTTCTCCCTCACAGAGGGCTGAGAAAACAAAAAGATGCTTTACACACAACTGAAACCCCAGCTTAAAACTGCTGACATCTGCAGGCCCACGGGAAGCAAGCTTTGTGTCATCAATAAAACAACGTGTCATTTTTTTTATTGAAGTACATCAACAGATGGCATAAATACTCACAGACAGTGCATTCATCACCGTTCTGGCCCCATCCAGAACAACATATGGGAGAAGAATCCCTAATGAGAAAATATAGCAGGCAGTATAGAATGTATTGAATCTGTGTTGACATAAATAAAACGTTTATAGAGCACAATAACATTTTACAACTTAAGAAACCGCATAGAAAAGACAAATAGCAAATAACATCTCTTAAATATCAATTGTTTCTCCTTGCCAGCAATGAGATTCAGTGGAAAACATTTTAGTAACTCAAGTCTCCTATTTGACACTTTTTTGTTTTGTCCTGACAGAAATACCCTAGAGTTTCAAAAGATATCTCAACAGTATCTCAAGATGACCTCAAAATATTGAATGTCAAATTCCTTTAAGACTTAAAAAATGATCTTGGCTATGCGATCCACATTCATTATCACTATAACTGTATGAAAACAGTGACACATTTACTTTTATTTTTCCTGAAGAATTTATGTAGAAACATCTGAGACAAAGATACTTCAGTACCCGACACTGAGGCAGACGTTTTTCCCGGTCGGAGAGAGTCTCTGAGCTGAGCACTGGACACACGTGAGCATCAGTCCAAATGAGGTCAGAAAGGTGTCCATCCCCCTCCGGACCGACCAAAACCGGACCCCCTCTTCTACCACAGCACCAGCACAGGTTAGTTCTGTACTTCTAGAACAGACAAGATCCAGTCCAGTCTCTAGCAAAATGGGCTCTCCAAATCCTTTTGTTTCCTCTGCAAGTTTCCTGAGGAAGAAAAGCCAGCTTCCTCTAATTCAATACGCCACTGGTTGTTTAAAGACAAAATCAAGGCCCAGAATTTTGTGGGAGGAGTTGGGTATTTTTAATGGTCAATGTGTCTGCCAACATTTTCTCATCCTTACCAATTACTTTTATACATTAAAATACAAATATTTTTTTTTAATCACACACGCACAAATGTCACAACACCACCTCTGGATTTTATTTAGCCTTATAGTACTTTCCAGTAACAAGCATTTTTACAAAAATAAAATACACTAGTAAAAAATCAATATGGGACTCATTAACTTTTATTTCCAAACGTGCAAAGATAAACAGATGAGTCACAGACAGCTAAGGAATATGGAATTCAGCTACAGGCCTTTGAAACATATGGGCACCCATTATCTCTAATTTCCTTCGGAGGAAACACAGACTTCCTCTCAATCAGGGAACACCTTACGACTCATACAAAGTATTGAATCAGGTCCATACGTTTTTGCCTCTTTTTTCAACAAAAAAGCTATGTGACACACACGTCTGATCAGTTGAATGGCTGAAGAGGGCAAAGTGTCAACTCATTAAAAAGGTAGTTCACCAAAAATTTTAATAAAACATTATTTTGTGTTCTGCAAAAGAAAGTCATACGAAGTTGGAACAACACGAGCGTGAATAAAAGATGACAAAATATTCAGACAATAAATTTGCATCTTTTTTCTTACGTTTACATGCTTTTTTTAACATCAGGTTGACATAATCATGGACATCACAGAACTGACAGGACATTAATATCATATGTTATCTGCCAATATTAAAATATTTCTATTAAAAACATGCTAAATGTCCTTAAAATAGATACAAAATGGACACTTTTTAAGTACAGCTAATGTTTTATAAGATAGTACACTGGAAGAACATGAATACAAAATACTCTAATGCCCCCTAGTGACATAAAGGGTCAGTGTGACAGTCATGGCAATACAATGTCAGTATCTTTGGTTAAAATCCATATTAAATATACTCTCTATAAAAATAGCTGCTATAATTCTTTGTAGCTTCCATCCAGACATCTATAATATAATGCCAGGTGTATTATGATTATCAAAACACTGCAGATTATTCCCATGTTTTTAAGTGCACCAGTCTGCGGTCATTTGCACCACCAAGTGAAATGACAATAATGATTGTTTCAAACCCTTCCACCCATCCCTTCCAAGTCAATTTCCCCATAAACAGCTTATTACAGGTAGCCTTGCCCCAAATGCTTGCCATTGCTTCAGTCATAAGTTGGGCCCTGAAACAGCAATGTTTTGAAAGTGCCACAAAACCTTTGTTTATACTCTTTGGAAAATCAACTAAATGTATTACTAACAGTTGGCTTTGCATATTGAACTCGGAAAAGAGAAAGTGAAAAAAATTCAACAGTTAGTGTTTAACTGTATATACTGTACCCAACTGTTCAAAAGTTTGGGGTCAGTAAGACTTTCTCTTTTTCTAAGAAATTATTACTTTTATTTAGCAAGTAATAAAAGCTGCAGTATCTTTTGAAATGTCTATTCTTCAAAGAATCCTGAAAAAATGTTTCCACAAAAAAAAGCAGCATAAGCGTCTTCAACTGTAATAATAAGAAATGTTTCTTAAGCACCATATCAGTGTGGTAGAAAGATTTCTGAAGGACCATGTGACACTGAAGACTGGAGTAAAAGTCAGCTTTACAGGGTAAAAATCATATTTAAAAATATATTCAAATTAAAAACAGTTATTGTAAAATTACAGCTTTTTTACCAAATAAATGCAGCCTTAGAGATAAAAAAAAAAATTTCAAAAACAAATTCTTACTGACCCTAAATTTTTAAATGGTAAACAACAAACAATAACAATATGTATATGATTGACACAATCTGGTCTCATGTTCAGATCATCTGTGACACTGAGTGACCATCAGGCACAAATCTAGCTATCAGCTAATTAACAAAAGCCAAGTGCTGAATGATTTTATATTGAGAAAAAGGTCGGCTTAGGCAACAACTATTAATACTATGTTTGTATAACCAAATACAAGAATAGTCCGTTCTCCGGTTTGAAACCTAAATCAAATATATATTTTGAACTTCTCTCTTCCAACCCAGGTGAAGATGAGTGGCAGTTGCGGTGGTTCTCAAGAGGATTTGAGGGTCTGTGTCTCCTCCTCGCCTCCTTGCTCGTCTGGATCAAGGATTTCCCATGTGGAGCTGGATGTTGGAAGGACGGAAGGCTGAGAACCAGAGCTCCTAGTAAGACTGGACGGCGTCAGGAAACTAAATCTAAAGGTTTGAATCAGAGGAGATAAGAGAGCTCTCAATCACTTTTAGAAGAATGACAGAGGGGGATTTCTTTTGTACTGTAGTAGCTAGTCTGCATGCTCAGTTACTGAGGTTACGAAGCCAAAGAGCGAAATGTGATCAAGAGATCTTTAAAATCAGCTTAGGGTTTCACCAAGACCATATAGTATGAATGCTGCCAAAATATACAACACAAATTACTACACACACACTATACACAGAGAAGAGAGTGGATGCCCTATAAAAGTCTTATTTAAAAAAATGTGTAATACATGAGGCTCTCAAACAGAAATCAGTAGTTTTAATACTTGAAGTCTCAGTCTTTTTACCAACATACATTTTAAGGGAAGGTTTAGGAAGACTATGCAATCCAACCTGCCCCACAAGTTTCACTGCAAAAATGTCTGTTATGTAACATAAAAATGTGGTAAAAATGTAAACAAAAAATGTCAATGTCTGTCAGGTAACTCAAATGTAAATGTAAACCTGAATTGTTTACAAAAAATTTAAATGTAAAACAAAAATGTCTGTCGGTTAACCTAAATATGTGCTAAGAAATGTAAACAAGAAATGTGCATTTAAAAATTTCTGTCTGTTAATCTATAAAAGCGGTAAAAAAAAAAAATAAAAAAAAAAAAGGTAAACCAAAAAATGTCAATGTAAAAAAACATTATTTTTAAGGATAAAATCAGGTAGATTTGCTTCTTAAAGGAGTGTAATTTTTGTACCACTAGCAGCAACATCTTTTATACAACATATGTGACCCCTTAGTCTTAAGTCGCTGGGGTATATTTTTAGCAAAAGCCAAAAAAACATTGTATGGGTCAAAATTATCGATTTTTCTTTTATGCCAAAAATCATTAGGATATTAAGTATCGATCATGTTCCATGAAGATATTTTGTACATTTCCTACCGTAAATATATCAAAACTTAATTTTTGATTAGTAATATGCAATGCTAAGAACTTCATTTGGACAACTTTAAAGGCGATTTTCTCAGTATTTAGATTTTTTTGCACCCTCAGATTCCAGATTTTCAAATAGTTGTATCTCGGACAAATATTTTCTTATCCTAACAAACCATACATCAATGGAAACTTTATATATTCAGCTTTCAGATGATGTATAAGTCTCAATTTTAAAAAAAATTACCCTTATGACTGGTTTGGTCCAGGATCACATATTTTAACTGCATTAGCACTAAGAAGAATTTCTGCTGTTGATCAAAAACTACATCGTAGTTGAACACCCGCAACTGTAAACCAAAGGTTGCGGGTTCGAGTCTCATACCGGCAGGGATTGTAGGTGGGGGGAGTGAATGTACAGCGCTCTCTTCCACCTTCAATACCACGACTGAGGTACCCTTGAGCAAGGCACCGAACCCCCAACTGCTCCCCGGGCGCCGCAGCAAAAATGGTTGCCCAGTGCTCCGGGTGTGTGTTCACGGTGTGTGTGTATTCACTGCTGTTTGTGTGCGCTTTGGATAGGTTACTGCAGAGCACTAATTCCAAGTATGGGTCACCATACTTGACCACATGTCATGTCACGTCTTAAACTACAAGAACAACTAAATATTTCACACTCGTAATGTTTTTTATTGTACCTAAGACTGGTGGCTTATCCTATAGCCCAATCTTGCTGAAACCAGTTTTCAGTGAAGTAGGTTAAGTAGATTGGTGTGCTTTTTAAGTTCTTGCTATAGCTCTGTATTGTTTAAGTGTGAATGAACTCACAGTTTTCTGATGCGTGAGTCCTGGGGTCTGTTGTCAGTGCTGTCAGTGTCATTGTCTTCATTTCCACTCCTCTCAAACAAAGGACCATCTGTCTCATCTCTGTATGACAGTGAAACTGTTAAACACAGCATTATTCACATGGGCTGTAAATTAGCAGTATGTTTGTGGCTTGCACTCACATTCTACATTCACTAACGGGTATGCCAAGCATTTTAGACTTTATGACGGTCCTCTGCTTCTTTATGGCAGAGCGCAGGGCATCCAGTAAGAACCCTGGGCATCTCTCATCATTCAGGATTTCTCTAATGAAACAAAGAAATGTGTGTCCAGATTGAGGCAGGACACTGTGCTGATAGAAAAGGTTAGAATGCGTCACAAACACAACTGTCTCACCTTTGGTAATATGCAAGCTCCTCTTTGACCAGAAAGAGATTGGCCTTCAACTCGTTCTTCTCAAAAAGCAAGTCTCGTACTTCCTGCTTGGTAAAACGCGGTCGATTTGGATCCTTCAAGTCAATGATCATCTTATCTGTGAGGTCTATGGCTGAACTGCTCTGAAAGAGGCAAAGGTGGAATTATATGAGTCAAAACTATAAATGTCTGACTTGGGCACAGTTGATAATCTGTTCTTTTATTTAAAAAAAACAAAAAAAACAGATAGTTTGGTAACATTTTCCAGTGTTCATGGTACACATTTTCCAAGCTAAAATAATACATCTCTAAACTAGTAACAAAAGGTGTGGTACACCGTGTTGCCTAAATAAGTGATTTCATAAGAAACATTCAGATTTAAACTTAAATTACGTTAAAGTTTAAAAATTATTAATAAATAATAAAACATGTTAATATAAATATTACTTAAAATGTAATTTCACAATATTTAAATGTAAAATAATAAATAAAAAACAATTGC